CGAGGATGGGTGTCGGGGAGCCTAAGATTGGGTGAAGCTCAACCCATACGGATTCACAGGTCGGACGAGCAAGGTCGTCGCGAACTTGGACTCTTCCGAAGCGATTTTGCCGGACAAGAATCGCAGCTCCACCATATCCTCTGGTTGCCGTACCGGATTTGTTATCATGAGGTGGTCGGTCGCGACGAAATGTGGTATAACCGGAGATGGTGAGCGCTATGCTTGGATTTAGCCATGTTTCATTTAGACAGATGACATCAGGTTTGTTGAAATCAGCAATGACAGACAGTTCGGCAGATTTGTTAACGATTGAGCGGCAATTTACGGAAAGCAAGGTCAGTTTACCCTGGCAAGGGGGGAAGTAGGGCCGAGCCAGTGGATTCAGCTGTGGTCGCGCCATCATGCTGAGCCTGAGGAGAGGACGTTGTTTGCCTGGTTGGCATTGCTGGTGTCAAAACTGTCCGCGGCAAAACGCCAGGGCCTAACCGTGTGCGAAAGAGCATCCGGCCAGAACCTTTTGTCACCGACTGTGTTCTCATCAGCTGCCTCGACGGTCACCCGTGCGTAGGCAGTTCTGAAGTGCTTGGATGCAAATATGACACCTTCCTGAATCTGCACTCCTCGGGCAGAGCACCATTCAGCAATTGATGATGCGGAGCAGTGTGGCTGCACGTTGCCAACGTAAAACACTTTGCGTTTGGCCCGGGGTGATGCCGTGAGGTCTACTGCCGGCTCGCTATCACGAGCCGGCTTGGTGTAGCGGGATGTTTCCACCCGCCTTGTTATGCTTTGAGCTAGCTGGGACTGACTACTAGTATCTGCCGCGTGCCTTTGTCTCTGGGCGGCTCGAGTGCGTCTGCCCTGGTGTTCCTGCCATTCATGTACTTGTTGTTCAGTATCGGTGGACCTAAGGGATGCATCCAGGCCTGCTGCGGGGCTGGAGCTACGACTTGGAGTAGTGCTGGACCTACGGGATGCATGCACGCCTGCTGCGGGGCTGGAACTACGACTTGTAGTAGTGTTGGGTTGTGGCACACGTGTTTCTCCTGGCAGGCTGCCACTGCCGGCGTGTGTACCGTACGTTTGTACAGACCTGCCCGTTGTGGTGCTGAGCCTCGCACGTGCACTTGCAGTTTGTGTGGCGGTTCCTAGTACTACGTCGCTGTACTGGTGTGGCATGGCGTGCTGTGTGTGTACGCTAGTATCTCGCAGGTCAGCCATTTCCCGCCTCAGCTGTTGAATTTCAAGCTTCAAGGAAGCAATTTCATCATCTCTTCCCACCCTAATTGCCACTATTTCTTTATTCAGGTCCATTATTGTCGAGGACAATGCGGCCAAAGCAGTCGTGACATGTCCTATACCGGTCATACCTTCCAGGATGGGGTGGGACCCAATCCCCTCCTTCCGGAGCGCTCCCACCAGGTCGGGCCGTGAGAAGGAGTCCGCTTTCGGGATGCCAGTCCGGGTGGCCAGGTTTTGTAGACAGTCGAACGTCAGAAGGGCCAGGTCGACATGCTCATTGGTGGCCATAGTCCGCAGTACAAGTCACAGCTCCTGTAGGTTACAGTTACAGACTCGGTATTTGATATCATACTTCTCTCGTCAACTGTGATAATACCCATTTCATATCCCCTCCCCTTCATAGAATTAATAACTACTGTTTTCTTTCCTTTCATTTCATCTTCTTTTCCGTTCCTTTCTTCTTCATATACATTTTAAACATTTTCATCATATTGTGAGAGCCGTGGGCCAATAGCCCCGGTGAGAAGGAAGTCTAGGCTGTTCATATGGTGAAGTAAAATAAAGAAACAACAATAAAGAAACAACACATGCCTATGCACCATCAATATTATGTCTGTTTTTTTGTCTTATTGAAGCGGGTTGTTCCTACACGTAGGGTAGGTAGAACACCTGGTACGCACTTTCTGCCGAACTTGACACGTGAAAGTCTCACGACCGCAATCCGCACCGGCGCGCACGAGGAGCCATCGCAGATTCCACTAGGCAAACCTGCAAGAATGCGCCACTCCCTGCCCAAAACGCTATGGGGTAGTCGTCATGCATGCAGCGACCGCTCAACATTTTCTTCAGAATTCGAACCCCACGCTTCCTGTGACTACAGTCAGGCGAGTGAGACACAGCCCTCATTGTAACCCACACACCTGCTATGGAAATATTGAACAGCGCTCCCGAGACCATCGCGTCATATCTGAAGACATTTACTCACGAACACAGTTCAACACACACACACACACACACACACACACACACACACACACACACACACACACACACACACACACACACACACACACACACACACACACACACACACACACACACACACACACACACACACACACACACACACCTTGGTCCTTGGTAACACTGCCATCAAATGGTCACGTGTCCCCTGTGCAGGGGTCGACAGCACTGAGTTCAGCATTGGACCCAGAAACGCCGCTCTACTTCCTGGACAGGAAATTAGCACAGCTATGCAGGTCGAAACCACTCTCAACCAGAGAGCGTACGTTCCAAGAGCCTATGCTGAATACTCCATGCTGTCGTTTTCTTTGTGCTGTAGATGTCACCACTCGCGGGCTCGCAACGCCTCGCGAAGGCATCTGAGAACGGGACGACGACAAGAGTGTCGACATCAAAAATCGTCGACCAAGTCCGCCGCCGATATTCCCGCCTCAGTATGTTATCCTGGACGGCTGGGGAGGCCCCAGGCCGCCACACACACACACACACACACACACACACACACACACACACACACACACACACACACACACACACACACACACAGCACATTTTTCTTTCTTCTATGTTCTTCACTGCCTTCGTATCCACTCGTTTTTTGAATACAATAAAAGCCTTTGTGAAATGTCGGTTCAGCTCGTTCTGTTGATCGCAATTCTAAAATTAACAGTGTCAGAATTTTGTCCAAAAATACTGTGTCGAACGGAGAGCATCGTGTCTAAGGCAAGAGTCACCGCAGGTATGGAGAAGAAGGAGTATACTGGATTAACAGCAACAACATTCAAACAACGCTACTATAACCACCAATCCTCATTCCGTCACAGACAACACGAGAAGGACACCCGCCTATCGCAGTACGTCTGGGCCAAGAAGGATGAAAAGAAGGAAAGGCATACAGCATTCAATGAGCGGTACACCGCAGAGCAGCGGCCTACAGCAACAAAAGCAAAAGGTGCAACCTGTGCCTGGCGGAAAAATTGGCAATCACGCAAGCACACAAGCAACTCTCTCTCAACAAAAGGAGTGAGCTTGTGTCAAAGTGTCGCCACGAGACTACCTTCGGAACTTCAAACCATCCACAGCCATCACCTAATAATTTAAGTAAGAGACAACCAGTGGTTGTCACCTTTCACCACTGCTGTCATTCACACTTTTACTTTTGGATCTGCCTCATGAATCTTAGGCCCCGACGGATAATTCTAGTTATTTTCGGCAATTATGCTACTACATGTAGCGCTGCTAGTAAACGTGGCACATTATGCTAGTTTTAATGCTCGTTATGCTCGTTATGCTCAATTTAATGCCACTTTATATGGGGTCAAAAAAGTGTCACGGATGGACTTCACACAACTCCACAAAAATACTCATGGGATGTAATATTAATTTAAAAACTTGGTGCTCTGTTTACCTGGTACACATTGTTCTCGATGCAACACTAACGTTATAGCTAATAATAGGCTGGCATAGTGCAGGTAGAATACATAATACTTCATGATCACCACATGGCAACAACATAGGAAGCCGCTTTTGATACAATAACAACAACAAAAATCCCATGTTTTGCAACAATATGCTAGTTTTCTGCAAAACCTGCTGATTTATGCTAGTGCAATGCTAGTTTCCAGAAAGTGCTAAATATGCTAGATAATAATTATTATAATGCAAGCATTATCCGTCGGGGCCTACTCATGATGCAGTCATTCACGCTTTGCACTGTCGCCATTCACAACTTTTAGATTTGCGCCATGCTGCAGCTATTTACACTTTGCTTTGTGAGTATATAAACCAATACTGATCCAGATTTCTCATTACTGTTTTCTGATGATCGCTTAGTGCGTGTTTCTCTGTCCTCCTATTGTTTGTTTCCACAAAATTAGGGGTGAAAGTTGGCACTGAGAACCCGAGTTCGAGTACTCTGATTTTCTCCGATCGAATATTCGAGTATTCGAGTATTCTTGATATCCTAAAAATCGCGCACCAAGGGCCTTAAAAATCACATGATACAACCCTGATTGAACCGATTGGCAGTCCTTTTCTCGGGTGTATTGGTTGGTGGGTCATTTGGGCTCTCTCTACTCGTGTACAAGTGTTCACCACACAGTCTGCACATCAACATCTGCTTACTGCTGCTCTGAAATGCAGACTTCTCTGGCAAATGCATGTACCATGTATGAGCGAGTACTCTGATTTATTCCGAGTACGATTATATTTGAAAAATCCAAACGAGTATTCGAATATTCGGTATAATTGTTTCACCCCTACGTGACAAAATGTTTTTCATAATACCAAAAATCTGCATTAGTGAGAGGGTAGCTCCAAAACAATGTATTATTCATAATTTTAGTAATAGGGCAGTCCCCACAGACTCAAGGTCTTCTTACGGGGTACCCTAAGAATGAAAGTAATGCATGGCGAAATAGGGGTGGCGATGTAGCAGTGGAGATATCAGATCATGGAGCACTATTCCATCTGTCTGCGGCCAAACAAGCAAGAGAAAACAGACCGTAGCATGAATAAACTCGGGAAGTGATGCGGTTTAGGCAGGGCCATTCACATTTCGTACGTTATAGTGAGGTTTATGTTATATCAAAGGTCGTTATAGCGAGGTCTGACCTGTATTGTTAATTAATTTTGAAAACACATGCACAGGGCCAGGGAGAATGAGCTGACAATAGTGTTTTCTTCGCTAACCTCTGAGTAGTAGAACGCCGCTGCTGCGTCTCTAGCTTGCAGTCATGGCAGGCAAAGAGACCGCTGACGTGCGCGGAGCACTATCAGCTCTTTCCCAGACTGGATGCGATGAGAGAAGTGCTAGCGAGTCCGGTGGCAGAGAGGCGACTTGCGCCGAAGCAAGCAGCACCGTTCCCGAGGCAGTGCGCAGATTGAAAAAAATGTTAGTTAGGGAATATGTTGGCGCAACGGTGGACATGGGAGAAGGCATGGTGGAGGAAGGGATGAAGGAGCCGAGCGTTTCAGATGTACAAATACGACTGATGATCTTGTCTAGACCAGAGCTTCGGCAGGAGTTCGTCGATGCCAGTTTCGATTCAACAGGCGACATGTGGCGCGTAGAACACATCTTCACAAAGGCAGCTGATAGTTTGGAGAACATCTTAATTGAAAGTCTCTTCGATCTGAACGAGAAGCAGATGAAGGAGTTCTCCAGCGGTCGGCGTACGTATCGCATAGTGGCTGTTGCCAGCGCGGGTTGTGGCAAGACGTTCGTCTTTACTAGAGTGGCGCCATTGAAATGGGCTCGGAATGAAATGTGGACATCGTTTGACCTGGTGATAGCGCGGAAGCTACGGAACAGGGAGGTGAGAGAAGCAACTGACATATGCGCTCTGCTTGGCGTGGGAGAGCGAGGAGTGTTTAAGGACGAGGAGCGCAAAAGCATCGATGATTTTGTTCGCGAACAAGCTCACCGAGTATGCCTTGTACTCGATGGACTTGACGAGATCCGCCTTGGCGACTGCAGCGGCTTTGTTAAGGATATTGTCAATGGGTCAAACGTGAAGGGACTGCGTCTGGTGGTGACGTCACGGCCGTGTGTAGAACTGCTGAGCCTGAGTGAAAAAAAGCAGTTTGATCGCCGAGTGGAACTTGTCGGTTTTCGGCAAGAAGATGTTGAGGAGTACATTGGCAAGGTGCTGAGGTCAGTAGACGAAGCATCGATACTGGTAGAAGCAGTACGGCAGGACCAACACCTTGCTAGTATGATGGCCACACCATTCCTGGCCATGCAGATGTGCAAGATGTTCCACTGCCGTAATGGCATGCTGCCAAAATGCCTCTCGGACATCTTTGACATGATGATCATCCAAGTTGCCGAGCGTAATACCGGTGAGTCGTACAAGAGTTGGAATGAGATTTCTCCAGCCGTCCAAGCTTTAATCCTAGATCTTGGAAATTTTGCTTTCAACATGCTCACTCAACGGCGACTCATTTTCACCGATACTGATTTGCAGATGCGTGCGATCACCGGGGAAGCTAAAGCTCTCGGCCTTCTCGTGCTAGCCGACAGTAGCAGTCGCGATGACAGCAGACTGTGGATGTTCAGCCATTTGACATTACAAGAATCGCTGGCAGCTCGCTACGTGGCTGTGAAGAAGGCAGCAACACCGGCACGGATTGTCCGCTTGGTGGAGTTGCTGGGCCCCGAAACCAACCACTTGCGGACTTTCTGGATGCTGTTGACAGCTCAGTTGGACAAGGAGAATGCTGAGTGTTTGATCAACGGTCTTCTGACGCGGAAAAAGTCCATTGACGGACAAGGAGCGGCTGTGAACGACGAGAACGAGGAATAGGATGACCCACATGATGCAGCCGCGGAACAAGCTGTCTTCCCACTGGATATGCTTGAGCCGTTGAGTGCCGGTTTGGACACCTACGAAGGCCGCCGTCTTGCAGAAGAGCTTCTACCCGACAGCCTGAACGGAAGAAGCAGTGTGCGTTACGTGGAGAACCGTAGCAAGTACAGCCGACCCGATAGCGGTGAACAGTTCTTGAGAGCGACGTTGCTGACGTGGGTGGAGCGCTGCCCTGATGCAACGTACGATACATTGGCTGATGCTCTGCGATGCATGGGCAAACACGTCCTTGCACAGTCTCTACATACTCCTATGCGCGGTGGTAATCCAACACCGGTGAAGAGTCCATTTCACAAGGAAATCACTCGTTTCTCCATGGCCCACTTGCACAGCTTAGATCTAGCAGTGCCCAGCTATGCCGAGCGATACCATCACCGTGACGATCACCATCAACCCATGTCCAGCCTAGCTGCCGCGTTTCAGTGCGTGAATACAGAGATCTATGGTCATTACCATCCGGCCGTCATCCGTGCTTATGACGTCGCCGTCGATGGGCACTGCACCAGCGTGAAGATAGTGCTCGTCCGTGGATGGCTACATGCCCTTACTCCCATGGTGTTTCCGCTGTCACTACTGAAGTGTCAGAATATTACAGAGCTAAGCATCCATAGATATACCTGTCAGTGGCAGCAGATCCTAGCAGTTTTGAAGCAATCACACATGCACCTGGCGGTGATCCAGCTGATTCATTGTGATCTCACCGATGCCAGTATTCCCTCACACCCGGTCAGCACACAACCGCTGCATGCTGAACACGGTGGAACGGCTACAACCACCGACCATGGCGATCGCAACCCTGCAATGCTCCTGGCTGAGGCACTTGCCGATGTTCGCTGCCTCAAAGTGTTCCGTCTTCTCCACTGCGAGGGCATCGGTGATCAGAATTTGCAGGGTATCTGCAAGGCCTTGCGTCACGCCACACACTTATCATCCTTAGACGTCCTCCAGCCAGGGTTGCTTCTTTGTATGAACATCCTAGCAGATAACCTCCGCAGTGCATGGCCTGATCCAGCGCAGCTGGACTGCGATTTTGCCCGCATCTTGGTGATGCAGGAGGCAGTATCCGACCGTGACGTCTCTGCATTCGTCCATGCCGTCAACGCGCACACATCTCTCCGGCATCTTGTGACTCGGATAAAGCGCTATCCGCGACCATACCGTACGGATGCCTACCAACACCTTCTGGATAAGGACTCCTACCGATCTTCCTTAGCCGTTCAAGTGGTTGATTGGTACTAGTTCAGCAGTCTCTGCATGCTCTACGAAACTGTAGTGCTGGAGTGGTACAAGATCACCCAGCACAATAGTTAATACTGAAATTTTGGTAATATTTGGACTTAACTTGAGCCTCATTTTTCTACTAGTACTTGAAGTATGCATTATAGTGCCACTCAAACAAAGACGTGAAATTTACAACTTTCCGATCCCTACAATTATTCCCGTAGCTATGCAGAAGACGTTACTTCAGTAACGTCTGGCGCTAGCCAGGGTCCACACAGCTTTAATTTGGTGTTTGTTTGTTTGTTTGTTTGTTTGTGTCACGCCTGGCGCTATCCCGTATCTGTCCCGTACTGTACCGTACCAGCAAAGACAGCTGGCCACAATATTTTTGTGTGTTTGTGCCATCGACATGCCTGGCGCTATCCCGTACCTGTCCCGTACCATCAAGAGTACGGTACCATCAAGAGAATGAGTATATATGCGAAGTGTATCGGGGGAATGCATTCAGTGCAGTAACATTTTGTGTGGATTTGTGTGCGAGGCCAAGATCCCACTAGCAGGCTGGCTGGGCCGCCTGTCGACCAGCCCGGGAATCGCATGTAGGCCGATAGCATAATAATTATAACGTATATACAGTCATGTAGATGTATAGCAGGGAGTCATATTATTTAAACGACTCCCTGCTGTATGGGGAGATTTTCTGGAAAGAAATACGAAGTAGGGAGACGAGTAAATGCTATCAGAATGGATGTTAGTTGCCGTCAGTATAATAATAATAAGAAGAAGAAGAACGCCCGTGATCGGCACAGTCAGCGCCGGTCCCAGGAAACGTCAGGACAGACATCCCGTCGACTCCAGAACTCCCGTGATCGGCAGAGCCAGCGCCGGTCCCATAGCTATGCAGAAAATGTTACTTCAGTATCTCATTGAAACGTTTTTGCAATACAATGATGTAGCTAATCAAAGGAAAAAGCATTTCCATCAGTTCTAACAACATGTACGATAAGCTAGGCAACAAAGCATAGCGCAGGGCCCTGAGCTTCCAAGCTCTCTTGTTAAAGTGAAGAACTCGCATCTTTTTAAAAATATTGGCTCTCTGCATTGTGTGCATAATGCAGAGATGTAAACGCATGGCTTGCCTTTGGTCAGGTGGCCGCATCCATTTATTACTGTGCGATGGAAGCAACTGTACCAATCAGAACAACTATTAATTTTGTCATCACAGCATTATCCCTGATGGAGATTCACTGCCGATCGTACATTGACCAAAACTATTTCTAAATCTGTTGTTTTGTAATTGCACTAGGCATTGGCGGATAATGCTCGAAAAGTTGGCAGATTCTGCTCGAAAAGCAGTGATATTGGCAAAACCATACAAACCTTATGGCAGGCAATTCCTCGAATTCTGCTCCATTAATTTTCTTTATCCACATACCAAACATGCATGAAACTTACCAGAAAAAGTACCAAATGTTCCTGCCGGCATTATCCGCAAAGGACTAAATTACACTGAATTGAATTTGAATTGAGTTTATTGAGTTGATTGATTGAGTTTTATTTTTTATTTATAACAAACTTGATTTGAAGTTTTTTTTGGTTTGGGTTTGAAATTCTTAATTTTACACATGCATCTTTCTGATTTCTTCTCCAGTGTATGATTTATTGCATTTTAAAACATTGTGTTAATTTGCCCGTAAAAGAGGCCGAAATAACTAAATTACACTGAGTGAATAGCGGTGTATTGTAGCTCTGTTGGTTAGCCAATTACGTTTTTAAAAATCATTAATTTTGTTCCAGCTGACTTCCATAGCACCATAGTAGTGTGCCGACATTTTTATTTGTACTACTTCGAAGTATTCAAATGCCTAACCTCAGTAATGCAGTGCAGTGCAGCCCATACTACAGACATGATTACTGTGATCACTGTGATCACGATCACTCCGGTTCGATAGAGTGCTCAATGTGGAAGCAGAGCAGTAACACACGAGTCACAGAGTACTCTGTGACTCGTGTGTTACTGCCTTAAGTATAAAGTTTCGTTTGGAATTAATTCGTTCGGGGGCACGAAATAACTAAAGTTTGTACCAAACTATTAAAGTTTTTATTCTGGACGTTCGGGGTGACAGACCTCGACCATAAACGAAATTTAGTACGTAACAAACCTGCTGGTAGATCTACATGGTGGACTGATCTAACGAAAGTTTTCGTAAGGCCAAACTAAAGAAGGTGTGTGGTTCGACTAACATGGACATTTTTTTTACGGGCGGGCGGGCGGATTTTTTTTTTTTAATATATTTTTTAGTACATGTAAATACACTGTACTGCCTTTAGACACCCAGTACATCGGCATTATTACGCAGTGTTATGCCATACATGTTGTATAAAGGGATCACTGGCTAATACTTTGAAACATTGTGTAGCTCTGGAACGAGAAGAGAATAACTTCAAGCGGTGACTCTGACTGTCCAAATCATGAACTATGATAAGTATGTCCGTTTGTTCAATAGATCCCTCAGAATAGTATTTGGTTTTGATAAGTTTACCAGTGCTTCACACATTCTTAGCCTTTACAGCCTTTATCATATTTCGGTGCGCGTCAATTTGAAATTGTTCATTCTTTTGTTCCGGTGCATCCATAGCGGAACATGCAGCTCTTTGCTTCAAGAAATCTTTACCAGCCGCTGCTGTAGCTCTCACACCACTGCCACTACGAGATCCCAGGTGTCTTTTTCTTTGGCATTACCCCCAGCACAGAGTACGGCTGGCTTTTCTCGGATTGGCTATCTCGCTGCTGACCGGTGGAATATGCTGCCTTCCACTGTTCGTACTTGTACCGATTACCGCTCATTTATTCGCTCATGCATAACCTTCCTAGGGGCTCCCGTAAGAAGACCATAGGTCTGTGGGAAACACCCTAGTAAAATAAAAGTTAATAATAAAATAATTAAATAATCAAGCAAATGAAGAACGATGCGAGTTGAAAGTAAGTTCGGGAACTACTTCGAAGTACAAATTGTACAATGTACCGGTACATGTATTGCTAGTTTGGTGTCGGCGTGCACGAATACATGGGCTTTTTCCATCGACGCTTCCTGTGCTTGCACACATGGAGCAGCAACTAATTATAGGCCTTGACGGATTATGCTAATATTTTCGTGAAATTATGCTTTTCGCATGGCTGAAAAAATGGCAGAATTGTGCTATTTTTATGCTAACAGTTATCATATTATGCCGCATCATGCTCACATATGCTGCTAATGTATATGATGGTTCTGTGCAAAATAACAGGGGAATTTTTTGTAGAGGGCGTTGCACTGTAGTAGGAAAAGTTCAACGGAGTCAACGCACCGTCCGACCTACATGTAGCTACGACCGTCACTGATTGTAGTGGACTGGACATGTTATCAAGGGAGTCGTAAACCTACAACTTCCTGGTGCATCTACTTGTACTAATCTTGTACTTGTAGAAAATGTACAACTGTATGGAATTTGATGCGAACAAGCGGATTATTCCAATTTATGCGATTCGTATGCAATTTGCCTCGAATTATGCGCTTATTCGATTTTGGTAGGAATTATGCGAAAAATTATGCTAGCATAATCCGTCAAGGCCTAACTAATTACTTACCGGTACAGGTGAAATATCGTTCCCAATACACGAGGAAAGTGCAATCTCGTCTGTCCTTCATCCCAAAACAGAAGGCCGTCCTTAATCTGGAACGAGGCAATCACTCTCAACCGGACGGTCACTTCAAAAATAATAAGTCTCGCCAGTCTGCCGGTGGTCGTATCGAGTAGACTCTACTACCAGCACAAGGCAGCAGTCGTACCACTCACTGCACTGCACTGCAGTACAACTACAACTACTTACAAGTCAAGTCCAAAAGGAGCCGCCTGCGTCCGCAGACTCACGCTGCACAGCACGTAGACGTGGACGTGTTCAGTCCACGTAGGTCTACGTCAGTCACACGACAGCCCGCCGAAAAAAAGTTACGGTCGGGCTGAAAAATGTACGGTCGGTCGGGTGAGTCGAACCACAGACCTTCTTCAGTGTGGCCTAAACAAAATTTTGCACTTTACATGGTTACATGTCTACTAAACTGACACAGAGCTGTTCACATGCATGCCTTCTGCGTGCTCGCGCTGTAGTCTACGTACTAGTACAAGTACAAGGCTGCAGACCAATCCCGAAAAGATTGTCTGGGTTCGAAAGGGGGCATGTCAACTGAGAGTACACTGTACAACACATACATGGCACTACCTGATCAGCATGCGGCACAGGACGTGTTTGATAGTTCGCGTGTGAATGCGAGGGTAAGTACACGGTTTTCTCGTTAGGGGCCGTCCGTAAATATCGATGTTTTTTTAGAGACGATATTGGTGCTTCTCTCCCTTGACCCCCCTCCCTCCCCCCAGAAGACGCACATGTACATCTAGATCATGGAATCAATATTTTTGGATGCTCATGAAGTGCCCAGGATGTTGAGGGTCCGGTGTAGGCGTGAAAATCCCGCCGCACTCACGCAATAGCTGCATCGCCTGGCCTGGGGGGAGCGAACCGGGTTGGCGCTGCAGTGCTCACAAACATCGTGTACTGGTGTAGCCAAAGCGGTTACGCTCGGGCTTGAATTTTTTCAAATCCTTGTTCAGACAGTGAAGACTGGAAACTCTTGTGGAGTTCGTCCGTGTTTGTTCGCACTGCCTCTACGTCTTGAAAAAGGTCTCCTGCAGGCATCGTTCGGCCGATTTCCACAATCAATAGCTCATTCTTTTGCTCTTGAAATTCGCCATGGGCGTACAGCTTCCAATTTTTGATTTTGTTCTTGTGTCGCGAGTTTTAGCTCCGCGAACGGAAGCTGGTTTCACATTTCTTGTATAGCCATTTAGACGTCCGCGTGCAGGGATCGGCGAAACTTCAGATATTTACATCGATATTTTCTGATGCTCGAAAAGACGCACATGGCTCAAACCCCCTCCCCCCCAGACGCACCAATATCGTCTCTAAAAAAACATCGATATTTACGGACGGCCCCTTAGTTGCATGCAAGAGAGACGATGCGACAGAAAGCAAAGCGCTTCGTAGTTTTCTCTCTTGCACTGGTAATGATCTGCTGTTGGAGTTGAAATGCTAAGACATAATCCTTGTTTCGCTCTTCTGTGTAGTGCGAAGAGGTCAACGAACATGTAGAGCTCACTTTGATGAAGCAGGCAAGGCTGTGAGCGCTGTGGCTCAAAGCGATAGGCCCTAAATCTTACGAGATATTTCGAGTGCTATTGTTTGTTGCGAGCGCTTCGTCTTCGATGAGTCCTGCCTCTTTCCTGGCAGCTGCCCTCCTATAGGACCAACCACGAAGTGACTGTACTCATCTGCAGCCGATCAAAGTGATATTGCACAAGAAGATATCGTTTTCGCCAAGCCAGTGCCCCGCCAAAGACCATCGCCGTGTCACACCGTCGGAACTAGTTCATGATGAGAAACATCATTCGCGCGAGCGTGATGAAGAACTATTTCGAAAGACAACATAGTCTTTACCCCTGGGACGACAACTATGTGCACGTCCTGCAAAGGGAGAATGTCACCAGCGACATCACCGAAGACGACGGCAGTATTTCGGAAACCTGGAGTCAGCGGAGGTCGTCAAGCTCCTCCGCGATCCGGTACATGTACAGTATAGGTGACATGTCGACACGAGCGTGCGGAAACACAGCATACACTGTAGTAATGTTGCGAGAGTTTGCGGAAGGAGTCCAAGTCGGGAAATCCATCAGCTCCAAAAGCTACCTGTAGGTGGGCGATGAGACTCCAGCTTCAGACTACAACAGTCAGGACTTGTAAATAGTTGAACTTTGTGAAGCAGCAGATCAAGGTTAGCTGAAATCGTAGCTGTTGCAGTATGTCGGCGCTATGTAGCTTGCATTTTTTACGGAGAGTCGATCGCCACGCGAATGTTTCTCTCCTCACCGAGAGCTATCTGGCCTCCAAACTCCGTCAGGGTCTGCCTAAGGTACCGAAGGTCCTTTGACTAGCTGCTGGCAGGACTCCATCAAGTCCTTTAGCTTCAGCTCGGCGAGCAAAAGTCTCTCTCTCCTCCGCCATGAGCTGACACACACAAACTGAATACAAAACGATGCACTTCACACGTGCTGGCTTGCACGCGTGCCCCCTTTCACGAACCCAGACAATCTTTTCGGGATTGGTCTATTATGTAAACCCTCCTGATGTCGTGTGTTATGACTCCCTGATAGTAGTGATACAGACAGTGTAGGGCTCGTGGTCATGCGAGTCACGGTGACCAGGTGACCGGTCAGGCAAGGCTGGATCCGCGGACTAGTCATGTGCCGTCCTTGTGCCACCCTTTCTGCTTTCTCGTGCGCGGTGAAAGATTTTTCGCTTGACGGCACCAACGACGCCGAGATGATTATGACATACACAGATCCTGCGGAGATCGACAGGACATTCGTGCCAGGCCGAGCGCAAGTATTATTATTATTTGTCTCAGTCCGTTGCTGTAATACTATCAAGAAGGTGTGCAGAAAGCCATTCTCGATTGTTTCTGTATTCGAAAGAATTTGAAAGAACGGAAACTTGGTGGTGAGGCTGGGAGAAAACAACACGTACCGCTCGAGGCGAGGATCGAGCCACATTTAGCGCAGCTCTCAAGTCTTTAGGGTGAATTCCTGGAGACCGTGCAGGAAGTAGATCGATTCATTTAGTTAGGTTTCGGCTTATCTCGCGACGAGAGGCAGTGTTCCAAGCGACGCTTCCCGTCCCGTGAGCTGTTCTCCTCTTGGATCCCGCTACGTCACGAGCGAGCAGAGCGGGTGGCGGCAGCAGTTCAAAGACATTAGTTAAGTGAGAATGGGTGCGTATCGTAGATCCATGGTTTGCGCGGAGTGGCACCGGATTGCCCTGTTGCTGGTCCTGCTTGCGATGGCTATCGCCGTGGATGAGACTGTGGGTCAAACATGCGAAAAGGTGGACCAATGCTCATGTCGACTCAGTGATACCGGAGAGGTTGTTTCATTGAAAGCCTTGGACGGGAATAAAAGGTGAGCAAAAATGTGCTGTAATGACAGAGGCATGGGGCACATCAATCAATTATCCACTTTGGTGGGAGAAAATAGGATTTTTCCACCATCATCA